ATGGACTGAAACCCATTAGTTTGCTGAGCTGCATCCATGTGTATTGGTTTATCTGTGTTTACAAGAGATATATTGAGGAATGATACAAACTAGTGTCCCTCCTCATATTTGGGAATGCGTATGTTCAGGTGAATGTGATTTTCCACGCTTCTGGATATATATAATTGTATCCATCTTGCCTGGTGACTACATATATATCAACACATGTTAGGGTGGTTTGTGTGTGAATACACATAAGATCATCTTGTGGGTATATAGAGCTGAGACTTCAGGACTTTTCTACAGGTCACAGTCGTCAATACTTTCATTATTCCAGCCCTGTATATATACCCTCGTGCACTAGGGTGTGGGAAAACTGACATGTTGAAATGTGCCCTTGAACAAATTCAGGAACACATCTGCATACTGCTATGCTTTGGAATATATACAGTATAATTTAAATAACTTAAGTCAGAAAGGTACTCTATGCCTTTCTCTTAGTATTTTCGAGAATATTTGTGTACACTGTGGTAACACATACCTACAAAGGTAATTAAGTTCCTTGGTATCTCTGAGTCCAAGAGTGGCACTGTTATGTTACTGGTGAATTTTTCTTCTAGCCTGAAGTTTCTAGAAGCATTTAACCCAAATGTATTCTTTCTCAGGATGGAGGTGTTTCACAGCCTGTGTATGATTTCTTGTATTTGAGTAAATCTGCGGGTTTGAGTTTATATGGATGGCTGTATATACATTTGTATCCAGTTTGAGAGGTCACACGAATGTATATGTCTACATGGGTGGGAGGTTCACATACTCATGTGACCGCATCCCAATTATGTGTACCCCTTTGCCACAGGTTTGCATACATGTGTGTTGTCTACTACAGAGCACTTGAACATCCCCCTGTGATTGTGTGTCATGTAGTAGTGTTCCTGACAGCTTGTGGATTTGGAAATGTACGCATCCTTGTATTTCTCTGTCTTGTCCTTGTGTTGTCAAGATGCACCTCACACCATGTGTGTGGCTGTGTGCCTGTGTACAGCCTGCTATGGGTGTGTTTGGGGTGGATGTAATTACCGGGATCGGCCCAGCCCTAATGAGTGTGATCTCGTTACACTCTAGCAGCGAGGCCTCTAATGGAGCTCACCTCATTTCACAGCCATTAGAGATGGAGATGGAGCCCCGCCCCCTGGGCTCAGCCAGCCACGCCTCCCTGGGCCACATTCTTTCCCTCTGGCTCGCCATTTCTCAGCTCCCTCTTTCCTTCTCCCTCCATTTCTCTGCTCCCCTTTTCCTTTCTGCTCTGCTCCAGAATGCTCTCTGTGCTCCCTCACCTTTTCCTTCCCTAGATGCCTCTTCTTTCCTTTTCTTCCAGGTGCTTCTCTTTCCTCTTCCAGCTCCTGATCCCTTCCCCTCATTACCCATTTCCCCTTTCCTTTATCCATGTCCATCCTTCCCCTTTCTTCTCCTCCATTCCTCTCCCCCTCCTCCCTCTTTTGCCTAGTCTGGCCAGAGGACAAATCTCAAGGGGAAACTAGCAAAGACAAACAAGGAGCAGTGACTTCATTATCGTCATTAATTTGCCACTTCAGTTCCTCCCACAAGGGTCAAACCCAGCAAGGCTTGAACCTGGGATTGACACGGGGAGGAGGGGGTGCAGACAGCCGACTAGGGAGCTGGTCCCTGGACTCCAGCCCTCCCCTTCCTATCCCTTCCCTCCTCCCTCCAGGCTTTCTTCTACTTCCCAGGAGGTACCAATATCCCCAATCTTATCTGATCCCTCTCCTACCCGATTCTTACTCCTTTCTTTTCCATCACAATTGGGCCATTTTTTTTTGGCCCTACCCCATCCTTATATTACATGCTTTTTCAGTTCTACCACTCCCTGTCTCTGCCACATTCGGTTTGTCTCTCCTCCCTTCCATCTCAGTCTTATCTCACAAGATCGTTGTTTCACATAATGTATGTGAAAGATCTTTGTAAACAATAAAACACAATACAAATATATGATTATTCCAGTTCTTAATCCCTGTCTCATCCTTTGTCTGCTATACTCATTTTTCTCTCCCTTCTTTCTCCTTTTCAAATCTCCAGCTCACTCCCTCTTCCTTGAACCCCAGGTTTTTTGCTTTTGCAATAACTGTTAGGCAATCTTTACAGGAACATGGTGGAGAGGGGAGGTCAGAGGATGGCATAGGTTCTTTTGGTCACTAACAATCCAGACAGAATCAGAGCTAGACAAATATAATTAACACCAGAGAGAGAACGGGAGACACAAGCAAATCCCAGTGCTAGAGACAGCCTGTGATGGAGACCCAATACATACTATATATAATATATATGTATATGTATGTATATAAATCCAATGAGAGTGTCTATAGAGAAACAGAATCAGTGAGGCCAGACAGACACTGACAGGCCAGAGTCAAAGGCGCAGGGGTTTGGACATGAGAATCAAGATGGGGGCACACCAACTGGGCAGAATGAAAAGAGAAGAATTTGAGGGTGGAAATGACAGTCAACCTAATTCTCCTGGGATACCCAATCTAGCTCTTCCCACACTAACCCCTGTTCCTCTCTATTCTGAAGCCAAATGAGGGGGGTCTGACCTATAACATTTTTAGTTTAGACTTTGCCCCAAAGGTAGTTGCTCACGAGTGGGGTTGTGATTTTTTAAAAAGGGAGTAGATAAACTGCTAGTGTAAGCAACAGTATTCACACACAAATTCTACTTCCTTGTATACCATAGGCACAAACATGCTACACATAGCCATGTTACACACATATGTATATTATATTCCCCATCATGTTTACAGAAAATAGCTCTGTCATATCCCATGTCAAATACCTCTTACACACATATGCAGTATGCACATAGGACAACAATAGCTGCATAAAGCCTATACAATGCTTCACAGACACAAACCTAGGCTTCGTTATTCACATAATTCTACATGTGTCAGTGAACACGGAAGGGTCCCTTTCCTTCCATCTTTCTTCACCCATGGAAGTTGGAAAAGACAAGGCAGACATTACTTGATTTTCAGGGGGATGGAGTTGAGTTGCCCTTGTAATCGCTACTGAACCTCATCATAGCTAATGGGTTGAGATAGAAGGAAGCATGTGTGAAAGGGGAAAGCATTTCTGAATCTTAACTCTACTCCTCTTTTGCCAGGAAAGGTAAGGGTCAAGAATGAAGAAAGGTAGGAGAGCAGATTTCCAGGTTTCTCTAGGGAGGCAGGGGGCTCAGGGCAAGTGGGTGGTGGGATGGCTCAGCTTAATATGAGAAGCCAGAGAAGAAAGATGGAAAAATCAATTAAATGAGTTTCTAACGGTGAGGTAAAGGACCGCCGTGTCGACAGCCTGTCGCCTACTGCAAAATATGAGCTGCCCAAGTCCACAGTGGTGGCTGACAGCATATGCAGTCTCCACAATCCCTCAGCCACTGTCCCCATGGCTTGCTTTCTTAATATCCAGCTGTTCTCTCTGACCATAATACTCCTAGCTGCTCAACTTATAGCCAAAACCCTCTCCAGGGTTTTTTAATGCCGCCTTTCCTCCTAGAATTCCTGCCCCACTCAGCTGTCTTCCTCATTCCTCACAAATAGACGGGGTTGCTATTTCTTTCTTGGTGTATCTCTTCCCTCTCTCTCTTCTGTTCTCTGGATCTCTTTTGGTGAATCTTGCTGAGTATGTATTGTTCTGTAACTTCTCCCCTCCCCTTCTATTTCTAGACACCTTTGGCTCTATAGACAATGGGGAACTAGACATCTATCCACATCCATCTCCCACACTTTTCCTTTATAGGAGACAAATTATCTTTAGGACAAGTAATCTGTGCCACATTCTGCCTTCTGATCTCCTCTGGAAATGCTGACTTTCCTATCATTCACCTGATTGGGGGTGGGGAGATCAAAGTGGACTGGCAGTTGATTTATGAACCCTTTATTTGTAACCAACTGTGTACATGGAGGTGTCTGTCTAGGAGACTATGATTTTGTGATTTGTGGGGGAGATGTGTTGAGGCTGTTTCTAGTTCTCATACATTGAAAACTTTCCTTGGAAACTAGTATCACTCAACCAGGGACCCAACTAATTAACCTCCCTTCTATATCCTTCTCAGTCTCTACCACTCTTCACTCTTGGCAAAGCTCCCAAAATCTCTTTGGAGGCTCTCCCATCTCTGCTTGATCCAGAGAAGGCCCTAAAAGGCCTTGATCCTCTTCTATCATCCCTCCCACATACTCTCTTTTCCCTTTCCTCTTATTCAGTTTTTAGCTCTCATTTACATAGAATTTTACCCTTTTCCAATCCTCTCCTTGTCCTTTATCTTCCAACCTCTTGGTCTTAGGGAGATTTGTGAAGGGAAAGGGGAAAAATGAAGCTCCTTCTAGGCCCTTCTCTTTCCTGTTTTCCATCCTTACAAATGACTTACTCCAATTCACAGACTGTTCCTCTCCCTCTGTTACCAAATTATACTGTCTCCTGACATTTCAGAATTCCTTCCTCTTCTCTGTCTGGTTAGCTCAGATCTCCAACTCAACCCCATCTTTTTTCCTTTCAGTTCTTCTGCATTTCCAGTAACCACTTCTAGTTCCAAATCTGATTCATCCTTCTAATTTCCTCAGCATTTCCCTTTCCTCCTCTGCTTGTCCATACCTGATTGCCTTCTAATCACCAATTCCTCACTACTCATTGTTTTTTCTTGTTTTCTCCAAACCTCAGGACAGCACTGGAATTCAATAAACAGGGCCTTGTTCTGAGTTCAGAGAACAGCCCTTGGTAAAGTGAGGTCAGACACCAAGCTATCAGATTTGGAAGTCCTACAGATCACATTCAGATCCAGTCCCCAGACTTCAGATACAGCTACCCAGCAAAGCAGCTTTTCCTGTATGGTTCTCAGGGTAACACCAGCTGTCTGTGACATCACAGAGGGGGAACCCTGTCAAGTTACCAAGGCAACACCAGCAATTTATGACATCAGAGGCTTGAGGTCTCTAGTTCTTAGAAGGTGAAGAAGATTTGAGTTTCTGACAGCTAAAGTAACTGGGAATCCTGCTTTCCCATCATCTTTCTTTATCGATCCTCTCCTGAATTTGGAATGTAGTTCAAAGGTTTCTGCTGTTGTGATGGAGGATGAGGGTCTCTACTGCATTCTCTTATGTTTAAGACATGTTTGCCCCCTTTGCATCTCTTCTTGTTCTCTACCTCTCTCAGCCCTCTTCTACTAAATCATTTTCCCAGACGGCCTCTCTTACATCTGTCACTTTGCATGGATCATGCTTTGGACATAGTACGTACTCAGTACTCCAAAAACACTTGTTTCCTAGAATAGATCATTCTCTCCTGACTCCTCTCCTCTCCTTCCCTCCCTCCCTCTATTTCTACATCTGTCTGATCCTTTCTGTCATGTTTCCTTTTTCTAGGCATCCTTATTCTTTGTACTGTGCTCTGTGCATAGGGAGGCTGCATACAATAGAGGATGGAATGCAGCATCTGGAGTCGGGAGAGAACTGAATTCAAATCCCACTTCCCACAATCACTAGCTGTGAGACCGTGGATAATAATTCACTTAACTTCTCTGAGACTTAGTTTCTTCATCTGTAAAATGGGGATATTATCTTTAGTACCTTCCTCTCATGGGTTGTAGTGAGAATCAAATGAGATAATATACACACAGCATATTGCAAATAGACATCAGCTATCATCATCATCGTCATCACCATCATCATCATCATCATCGTTGTGATCATCATCAATTTTCTCTAGTTCATTTTGTCCATCTCCTTTTCTCTAGATTTCATTCTGCTTTTCCTGTTGGCCTATCTACATATCTTTGTTTTTAATCCTTTTCTTTTTACTCTATGGGTATCTTATTATTCCATTTCATTCTCATACTGTCACTCCTTCCCCACTCTGCATATCTTGTTCTCTCTCCATGTTCTTCATGCAACATAATTTCCTTACCCAAGTGTGTTTCTCTCTTTGTCCCCCCTCTTCCCTTCTTTCTATCTGTCAGTTTATAAAAGCTCCCTCATTCAGTTTATCTCCGATTCTCTTTCTTGCCTTATCCAGCTTCTTACAGGCCTTGAAAATAGTGGTGGACTAAAATCAAAGCAAACTCCAAGCCCGTTTTCTTTCCCTTAGGTTGAACTTGCTTGTCTCTTGGGCCTTTGCACAGGCTAGCTTTCACCTCACTAATGAATACTGTGCCTAGTAAAGAATTGGTGCTCAAGCCAAATATGGTAACAGCAGCAATGAAAGAATGTTCTTTGGGCCCAGGGAGAAGATGAACAGGAATGTGAGGAAAAGGCCACTGAAATGTACCATGACTCACAGACACAGAGAGAGAGAGTCTGGAATACAGGAGGAAAAGAGGCAGTGTGACAAGATGGAGATTCAGACTCTTTCAGGATATTACCCACAAATACCAAGTTGACAGCTGAAATGATGACCCTGGCAAAATGTAGGTGGCTAAAGATCCTCAAAATCCAATTACAACTTTCCTTAGCCTGTTTATTTCCCTTCTCTTTATCATCTGACCCTCCTTTTACAAAATCATAGCGCTCTATCACCCTGTGCTACTGGGATTAAAAATATTAGGAGGGAATAGCAATGAGAGAGGAAAGGAATGAGGAACTAGGGAGAGTGGGTGGGAAAAGAAGGTAAGCTGAAAGAAACAAAGGTGGAGAGTAAGGATGAGAGAAGGATAATCAAGGAGGGAGAATAAGTTGGAAAAAGGGAATGAAACAAAAGTAAACGAACAGAAAGTGATTTGAATAAACAGAAGAGTATGCTGAAGTGGGGAGAAGGGAAAATTGAAGAAGTTTAAGGGAACGTAGAAAGGGCAAGATGATGACAAATGAGAATGGGAGTGCTGAGAAGGGAAAGAGAAAAGGCAAAAGCCAACAACATAATAAAGTACACCTTTCCTCCTGTGCCTTCTCCACTCCCACCCTGTAAAGGCTATGGAGGTGGTAGAAGAGATATCCAGGCAAATACTGTTAAGGGTGGGCACGTTGGCAACAGGGAGCACCTGCTATATACACTGCTTTCCTCTGTCCCCTTTCTTCCCAGTCCCCCAATTCCATTCCAAAAGCAAGTTATCATATCCATGGTTGACCAAGTGCCAGTGATAGGAGTGGAGAAAGGGACCAAGTGAATCAGGTTAAATATTTTCAGGGACAGCAACACAAGACCTAGGAGGGCAGGAACAATCAGATCCGGCAAAGGAGTGACAAGAGACAGCAAAGGAGGGACACAGCTTGACCAGCACATCATTTAGATACTGGGGGTTAAAAGAGACAGGGACAGACTGAGGGATAAAGAGGTGAGAGGTAGGCTACAAGGTGAACAGACAGGGAAACCTATGAGGGTACATGTACATACAGCCACACACAGACACAGACACCCCCCCCACACACACACCCCCACCCCCAACAGGGACACAGAGAAAAAGGAAAATGCAGTTGCAGGGGCACAGAGAGAAACAAGAACAAATACGGAGAAAAAAACAGGAGCACATAAAAGCAGGGACAAATAGAAGGAGACGGGAAGCCACTGGACAGACCTCCTTCACCTTGACCAGTGGCGCTTGCCTCCCCTCACCTCCAGAACCCTTCCAAATATTTATATATATATATATATATATATCCAACTTCAGATCCGGAAACGAAGGCAGCCTGGCCGCCCCTCCTCCCCGCACTGCCCCCGCCGCCGGCCCGGCGCCCACGTCGGGGATGCCCTGTCCCTCTTGCCCCCTGACAGCTCGCGCCCCCGGCCCCCCAGCTAGGCCGTCGTTAGGTGACTGCCTGGCTGGCGGGCATCCATTCCTCCGGGGGGCTCCCCCGCGCCCTGTCTCCCCACCTCCCCGCCAGTCTCTGCTTTCATGACCTCCTCCCTCTCTCCAGCTGTGCCTCCTCTCCCAGCCCTCCGTCCCTCTCTCTCTCTCTTCATCTCTCCCTCCTCCTCCTTCTCCTCTCCCGCCGCCGCCGCCCGCTTCCCCCGCCGGAGCGGCCCCCACGGTCCCCCGCTCTCCCCGCGAGGGCGGGCTCGCCCGCTCGCTCCTCGTCCTCCCAGTCCCTTTGCTCCCGGCCGGCCCGCCGTCGGTCGGTCTCCGCGCGCCTCTCTCCCTTCGGTCTCGCGCTGCCAGGGAGCAGAGGAGGAAAGAAGCGAGCAAGCGAGGGCGCGAGCGAGCGAGCACGAGAGTGAGAGGGAAAAAAACCCCGGCAGCATCGGAAATCGATGCACTTACACCTCAGCTGGAAGCAGAGACGGCAGTCGAATCGCGGCCGCTGAGAGCGCGAGGCGGGGAGGGGGAGAGGGAGGGGGCGGCTCTGGCAAGAGACTTCTCCGATGTTGAGTCCTCTTTTTTTCCCTCCTCCTCCTCCCTCCCTCCAGGGCTCGCTCCGGGGCGTCGGGGGCAGAAAGGGGGAAAATAAATAAATAAATAAATAAGCAAACAAACAAATAAATAAACGCACGCCGGTGAGGGAAGGGAAACAAAATAATCAATGCTATTTGGCTGCGGCTGAAGTGTTTTCCCGGCTTCGTGTGGGGGTTTCCATTGATTCACCCTGGGCACTCGCTCCCTGCCTCCTCCTCCTTCTCGCCCTCCTCCTCCTCCTCCTCGCCCTCCTCCTCCTCCTCCTCCTCCTCCTCCTCCACTCCCTCACTCCTCCGCCTCATTCACTGGCTAGAACCGTGGCGTCCCAACACAATGGAATAATCAATACCCAGGCGCCTGGGGTTGCCCCACTGAGCAGGTGCAGCCGTCCTCTTGCCGCGGCATGATGGGAGATGTAGTCCGAATCGCCCCTACCCCGAGCGGGGACGTCACTGTAGTACCCGGCGCTGGGGGCTGGCGGTGGAAACATCTGCAAACTGGGGGGAGGGTTTCCTTATGGTGCTGCTTCTGATGCTGCTCTGCTCCCCCAGACAGGTCCCTATTACCGTGCGATCACAGTCGCCCCTATATCCAGAGGCCAGTCCCAAATCAAGTACCTCAGGGGCGAAGATTCCTTACTCTCTGTTCCTTTTCTTCTCTTCCCTACAGAAACCATAAATATCTTATCAACTTCTGCTTTCTTCTACGTCCCCAGAGCTGCTTGGGGCCTGTCTCTCCCTTCCCCCTCCCTCCTTCCTGAGTCTTATAACTGGCTTTAATTATAACAATATTGGTAACATTATACAGCACTTTACATACATAAACTCATATTTTCATCAAATAGCCCTAAAAGTGGGTATTAGTCCCATTTGACAGATGAGGGAACCATAATTCAAAGAGGTGGAGTGATTTGCTCCCAAATTATATAGCTAAAACTCTAAATCCAGCATTCATGACACAATTGGTTGCCTTTCTTATCCCAATCTGACCAACGATTGTTTTTAGGGTACAAATGCCTAAATGACCCTTCTCTCACGCTCCTCTCCAGTCACTTGAGCACTGAGAGCTAAGAACCAATTCTTTATATCTTACTGTCAGCCGGAATTGTCTATATGGATTTCCAGGTCCTCTGTTCCACTCAACAGAAAAACCCAAAATTTCATGAAGTCATGACCATGTGGGGTGATATTCAAACACAGGGAAAACAATTGTATCCTCTTTGCAGGACAAAAGCAACTGAAGAGGAAGCAGATCTAATAACGGGAGTTCTGGGTTAGGTCTGTGGCCTGAGAGTCAGAATATCTGGTTCTTCCCTTGATGCTTAAGAACCACCATGGCAGGCAAGGACGACACAGCCAAACATGGGCTGGAGAAGGGAGAGAGGTGCTCCTGCTCAAGTGCACATTTGCAACCCAGTCTTCCTATGGTATCCCTAGCTGGCCATCTGTGCTGGTCTGGAAATGGAACAAGAACTGGGAAGGCAAAGACTGGCTCCTCTCAATCCCAGACATTTCCCATTCTTCAGACTCTTTGGAAGCCCATTCTTCTGAAGCTGCCATATACAGGTAGGCTGTAAAAACCACATCTCCTTAATAAGGTGCCATCCCATCCACCATCCCAGTGGGTCAGAAATAGCAAAGTTCAAAACTGCACTAAGACTTTTGGGACACCTTGTACAATTAATGTCGCCTCTCCATTATTTTAACCAGGCCACACCATCTGACTCTAGAACAGTATTTCCTCTAATCTCTGATCAAACCAAACTAAACCAAACCAAACCATACTTTTTGGAATCAGAAGACCTGGATTTAAGTCACGTCGCCATTTCCTAGCTGTATAACCTTGGGTGAGTCACTTAACTTGGGTCTCAGTTTTTCCTCATCTGTAAAACGGGGATATAACACCGGTACTACCAAGTTCCGAGGTGGTGTGAGGATCAAATGAAAAAGAACATACGCAAACACTTTTGACATTCTTAAAGCATCATAGAATTGTAAGTTATTATGATTATTATGCCCTTTTATTTCAAATCCACTTGCAATCAGAAAGCTAGGGGTGTGGGGAGAGGTCAATTTTTTATTCTCCAACCCTCAGCCATGCCCAAAGCAGTGCCTGGAGGGATTTGGGGAGTGGCCCTGCCTATATTTCTTAGCCGCAGGGTCTGTAAGGTTGGCTGGGGGAGTTAAGACCTAGCCTCCCCTCTTTCCCTAATATTCCCTGCCTCCACCCCAATCTCTTCCCAAGCCTAGACCTTCTTCCACCTCTCCCACTGCCAGCCGCGCTGCCCAGTATTAAGTCGGAGCTCCACTGGCCCTAATTGCAGCTTTCCCGTCACCATGGCGACAGGGCGGTGGGATGGTGCAGGCGAGGTAGGGGAGGAAGGTGGCGGGGTAGGGGAGGGAGAAGGGCAGAAGGAGAGTCTCTGTCGAACTACATCTCCCACAATGCTCCCGGCTCAACTGCTCCCCGGCTCCGCCTGAGGCCCAGTGACCCCAGCCCGCCCCGGGACCCCACTTGGGACAAGGCGTGGAGCGCGGGAGCTTTGGCCTAGCTCCTTCGGCCCACAGCCTGGGACTCGGCACCCTTCACAAACCCGAAGGCCTACCAGACCCGGCCTGCAGTCTGCACCGTCCCAGCCAGGAACTAATATGGCCGCTGGAACCGGGTCCAGGGCCGGAGGCGCGAGGGTGAGGCCGGGGCTCGAGGCCTGGGAGCCCGGAGGGTGGGGTGGTGGTTGGCTCCCGTCATGCATCGCGGGGAAATTCTGTCCTGCCCCCTCGGGGCCTGCGGGGCAGGCGGAGTCCCGGGGGAGGTGGCAAGGGGAGACCTGGGGAGTGACATCAATAAATCTGTTTCTCCGATGGACGGAGACCAGTGCAGAGGGGTGGGGCTGGTGCCAGGAGAGGATTCACACCCCCAGCGAGTTTGGTTCTCTTTAAACCTGTTTTCTCATCTGTAGAATGGGCCTAATGATATTTCAACTAGTTAGAACACAGAATTGTGAGGAATGCGTTTTTTGGTTCTTTAAAGCACTGTATAGGGGGAGCTAGGTGGCATAGTGGATAGAGCAGCGGCCCTGAAGTCAGGAGGACCCGAGTTCATATTCGGCCTCAGACACATAACACTTACTAGCTGTGTGACCCTGGGCAAGTCACTTAACCCCACTACCTGGCCAAAAAACACCACCAAAAACAAAAACCACTGTAAAAATGTGAATCACTACCTGGCGGAAAGGATTTAGTTTAGACTTATAAAACACCTATTAGCCTATTGTGTGCTAGAAACTGCTAGGGCACACAGATACAAAACCCTTGTCATCACGAGTTTTCATCATTTTACTTAAGAAACAATTTTGTATTTTAGCTTCAGGAATTTTTATAAGTGTGGAAAGTGTCTTAAAAACTGGGTCTTCCTTAAATTGAGGGCCGAAGAGGGGAGGGTTGGTGGGAGCCTAAATACATAATTAAGAAGCTATGATTTTGTTGGTGTGGGACCCCTCTCTATCCATTGTCTTGGAGAGACACCTGAGCTTCAGAAATTAAGTGATATGCCTATGTTCTATGATCACAGAGTTAGGATCAAAACCAGGATATGAACTCAGGTCTTCCTGCCTCCCAGTTCAGCACTCTTTGAACCATACTGCACTGCCTCTTTATCTGTCTCCCTTACAAGTAGTAGAAGCTAAATCAATGTTTGTTATTTGACTTACTGACTACAGGCAGCATGACACATCCTTGGATTGAGGTAGAACAAAAATTTGTCCCAAGACCAGGAATTGAGGATCGGTTGAAAGAACTGGGTGGCACTCAGGAGAGCCAGATTTCTTTCCGTGACAGCTACTATGACACTTCAGAGCTTACTCTCATGAAGGCTGATCACTGGCTCCGGCATCGTGAAGGGAGTGGATGGGAGCTCAAGTGCCCTGGAGCAGGAGGTAACACTGGCTCCCACACTAAGTACATGGAGCTCACAGCAGAGGCTGCCATAGTAGCCCAGTTGTGTGAGAGGCTGGGGACTGCAGCATTGGGCACTGAGAATATATCAGAGATGCTAGGGCGGCTGGAGCTGCAGGAAGTAGCCAGTTTTGTAACGGAGCGGAGTGTCTGGAAGCTCGCACTGTCTGGAGCTGGTAATGAAGAGGAGCCACTTACAGTAGACCTGGATACAGCGGACTTTGGCTATGCAGTAGGTGAAGTGGAGGCCCTAGTTCGAGAAGAGGCTGAGGTACCAAAAGCCCTGGAGAAGATCCACAGTCTCAGCTCCTTGCTTGGTGAGGGCCCCTCAACTTCATTTCCCTTTTATCCTCTACCAGGGTTGGACTAACCTATTAGGCAGTAAGATAGGGCAGGTGCTCTGGCACCACTTCTGTAACAGAGTAAAATTTGCATCCAAATTCCTGTCCTGTCTAAAACAGGGTTTTGTAATCCTTCCCCTCTTCATTTATTAGTAGCTCTGGCTGGATCTGTATTTCATCTTGCTTCTTGGAATTTTCAGTGTTCCTTCAGTCTCACACATTCTGTACATGTCATCTGCATGTGTCCCTCCCTGACTTTATCCAGCCCCCATCCTGCCCCTCTTTGACCTCACCTTAAGTTCCCCAACCTTATTCATTTCTGTTCTTCAATCCCACTTCCCCATTCCCAAGTATATGACCATCATTACCATCTATCCAGTTGCTGCCTCCACTTCTAGCTGCATTATTTTTAGTCAGTGCTAATTTCCTTATCATCATTTCCCAAATTATATTTCACAGAATCCTGGTATTCCATGTGACATGAGTAGTATTTTCTTGGTAATGTCCATGCTAGTAATATTTACCCTTAAATAAGTGTGTATCAAATGCTTATATGGCAATTTTTGGGTATGAAAATTGGCTTATTTTGTTCTACAATTTCACCAATTTCTTCCTTTATTCTTGGAGGTAGTGCCATTTATGGGTTCAGTCAATATATTTCAAGCCCCAGAGTTCTGTGGCTGAATTAGTTTACTAGGCCATCTCCTTTACTTTAGACAAGAAAATGAGGCCCAGAGAAGTAGACTTGCTCAAGGCCATATGGGTATAGAGCCAGATGAAGTCCAGGCCAGTGTGCCTTTTCACTCAAGCATGGTGTAGCAGAAATGGCCTCAGCTTAGAAAGAAGACTTGGATTCTTTAAGGAGATTGGGATGATGTGGTGGGAAGAGCATTCTAAAGGTAGAACACCTGAGTTCAGATTCCAGCTTTACTTCTGGTGAGACCTTGGCCATAAAATTTCCTCCTTCTGGGCCTGTTACTTTATCTGTAAAATGAAGGAGGTTGGGACCAGGTGATCTTTCATGTCTCTACAGCCTTCTGTGGTCAAACTAGTTTGGGAAAGGCTAACTGTATTATCACTTGTATTGTCTTTGTAGCTGTGAGAGAGACCGAGGCATGTTATATTTGTGGTAAAGAATTAGGGTCCCCCCCACCCCTTATGGGAAGAGGGTTGGTAAGAAGGCATTAGAGGGCCGTTATTATATCAGAAAACCTTTTGCCAAGGATCCCTCCCTCCCTTTCTTGTTTATGCTGTTTTTCTACACAAAGATCTCTGTCCATCTCTAGGGGATTACAAGTTATATAGCCTACTATGTCCTATACCAGTCTAGAAAACATACTTGGCACCCTATTCCTTTCATTCATTTTAACAGATATGTGCCATATGTACAACAGGGGATACAAAGAAGCATACATAGGTTCTATTCTCAGTTTGTGTCTAATAGTCTAATAAGTCTCCCTTGCTATATGTAGTGGGAGCCTGTTCCAGGTGGGTATGGAATTATGGATATCCCTGTGCATAGCTATAGCTCTGCCTTTCTGGTGGGCTATCCTTCTTCATTCCTTGGTTTACATCTGTGTGTATTTGTGGCCCTGCTTCATTACCAAGCCAATGAGCTTTGGCCTTCTCCAGAAGGGTTTTAATCTTTATCAGGGGACAGAAGCAATAACTGAAATGAGCCAGTTGCTATAAGGCCTTTCCCATCTCCCATTGGATAGGAGAAAGATTATATCTACCTTCACATATTTTTGCCTGCCTCTGGCAGCTGGGGCAAGAACTGCAGTACAGAACAGCCTGTCTTAACCTAACTCCAAAGATGAGGGACGGGGAGGCCCCAGGAATTGAGGGGGGCTATTTTATGCGTGTCACAGAGCACTTATAAGGCAAGGGAGGTAGAAGGTTGAAGTTAGAGCTCAGGGGCTTATGCTGTCTAGAAAATAGCTTCAGGGCATGCTGACTGTGTGGCTTAGGAAATGGAACAGGCTGAGAACTGTTTGATTTCTTCTGCTTTCCTAGGTAGCTATATGACCTTGCTTACCTCTCTCCATCTTTTTGCTTATAGGTGTTTCACAGCACGAGCAAACACCTGGCAAGCTGATTGTATACCTGAAGCGCTTTAGGCCTCTGGACTACCAGCGCCTATTAGAAGTGGCCACAGGGAAGAATGATGAACAACAGGAGTCTGCAGCCATAGAGCATTAAACAGCTACAACATGGGATGAGTAGGTGTCATTTGTTTGGGGGCTGGGGTGTGGGGAAAGAATGTTAGGGGTAATAAAGCCCACCCTTAAAATTCCCCAGCCTTCCTTTTGCTCCCTCCCTCTCAGTTCTTCTGCGGTCTCCATTTTCTTTGCTTTCTCTCTCACCTACCCCACTACCTCCTCCCTGCTCACCTCCTTTCCTTCATCCGTCAGATGCAATCTGTGGGCTGCCCCTCTCCCCCAGCCGCTAAGCAGCCTCCATTGATTTCCGCTCGTGTTTATAGGATTTCCACTTAGCTGTGATCAGTAGTTAAGCACAGGAAAATCCCTCGCCGGCCCCCCCTTGGTCGATGCCATTGATTCTGCCAGCGGCTCCTAACCGCCTTACAGCTGAGTTAGAGATGAGGGCAAGCAGTAGGGATTTCCCCAGTGGGGGGGGGGGGCGAATGTAGGTAGGGGAAAGAGGTGGGAAGCTCTGCCAGAAAAACCAGTATTCTGATGTCACTGGTACTTGTGTCCTCCTTTGACCCACGATGGTAGACTGGGTCTTGTGTGAATTTCTGAGATAAATTTCTGCCCTGTAATGGGGGACAAAGAAAATTCTCTGTTCATGGACTGTTCCCTAAGGCTCAGGGTGAAACCTTGTTCTTGAGAGGCTCTATTACTTGCTCTCTGTTGTTTCCAAGGGCTCTGTCCCCAGAACAGATCTAGACATGGCTTTCTTACCCCAAGTTTATTGTAATCCTTCATTGCCAGGAGATCAGAGCCCCCCCATACCCCAGTCTGTCTCTGTAGTAGAGAATCATGGAGGCAGAGTGCCACCTACTGGTAACCCTTGGGAACAGTGACTTCAAGCCCCACAGGCTCCCAGGTAGTCTAGGGGCTCTCTGGAGAGGCTGGGACTTCTTCCTGCTCAGGCTAAGGAAGCACATCCTATCACTGCCATGTGTCTAGAGGGAAGTCCTTCACCTCAAAGATCTCCTGCACTGACTGTCCAAAGTGGTTGTACGCGAGTCGCAGTCTCATCCGCAAAGGGGCCTAGGAAGGAGAAAACAAAGTGACAGTAACTGGCTCTTTTTGCTCCTCTAATTCTCCATGGCTGTCCTTAACCATAAGGGTTGCTGGCTCTTACCTTGTTGGGATTGAGGACTCTGAGGACCTGTGTGATGGGAGGACCTCCCTGAGCTGGAACTGTGTCCCCACTGGGTATCTGCAGCTGCAGCTGGAAACTCTGGCCATGGGGTGGGGGGAAAGCAAGGTAAGGCAGACCTTTCAGTTTCAGCAGACCCCTGTACGTGCAGTCGTGCCACATGCCATTTTCCCCTCAGCTCTACTCCTTTCCCGTTTCCTATAAGCTCTTAATTCTCCCACTAAAATGTGGTCTAATATTAACCTTGGGCACAGCGGCCTGAAACACAAAGTGGGTGACATCACTCTTGGAAGTGTTGCTGGCAGTTGCTGTGATCAGCAGCAGGGCAGGTGTCTCAGGGGGACGAACAAAAGACAGACTGATTTGTAGTCCTTCTCGGTCAAACACCTTTAGACCTGGGATGGGCGCTAGAGTAGGGTTATAGAGAAGAGCTCAGTCTTAGGAGTCTGAAATGGTCATGCAAAGTAGAGAAGTAGAGAGAGGGCAGGAGAGAAAGTTCTGGAAGCTCCAGATAAACCTTGCTACATAGCCATGTAGGACTGCACACCACCATGTCATGTCAATATTCCCCTTGTGCCCGTAACTTACCTAGGGAGGGGGTATTGGAAGGAAGATCCAATAGGTGTAATAAGGAACCTCCAGGCATTAGATCTAAAGCAGGAGGCGGCTGGGCATCCCCACTGGCACTATCCAGGAGATCCAAGAGGTCTAAAAGATTTGAGGTCTAGGGGAGACCAAGGGAAAGGATCAGTATGGGATGGGGGAATAGGCTCTAGTATTTACAGTCTCCTTACCGGGGGTTCAGTGGGGGACTGGACCTCTCTCTTTGGACTCCAAGGCTGTTCTTTGCCTTCTCCTGGCTCATCATCTTGGGGTCCGCCATGCTCCACAAGAGGCATCTTCTCCAAGATTGCTGATCTGAAGGGGACACAACCCAGGCATCCTGGCTCCCAGGACTCTCCCGGCCTAACACCTTCCTTTTGGACTAATGGTACATAAGGGGGACCAGTTGAGACAGTAGCTAGCTCAGTGAAAATAGTCATGGCTGCTGGAAAAACAATGACAATGCTTGTTTTACTCTGGGTGTGTCAGTGCTGTTTCTGCATTCAAAAAATGGTTGTCTGGGAGGGCCTAGCACTGTTACACCAACAGGACAGTAGAGGCATTGGCAAGGACTTTCTGGGTGCTGAGAAGGCCCTTTCATCGCTGCTGCTGGGGAGCAATGCAGGGGGAACTCTGGGGCCAGACTGTCTCACCTCATGTGGTCATACTTCCGGAACAGAGCATTGTATTCCACCGCCCTCTGTTGTAGCTCTATATCCAAGCAACTTCCATAGATGGATACTACTCGTCGGATGCGGCTGGAGCATATGGTGGGCAGTATGGAGAAGAGGGATGGGGTAGTAGTTAGTGTGGCTACAAGTCAAGTCATTGCCCACTCTGCCCTTATCCTTCAGCCCCAGAAATGAGAAGGAAGGGAAAGGCTGCCTTAGGGAGTCTTAGGATTCTATGCCAATTAACTTGAAAGAGTAGGAGGCAAGAAGAAGAAGGGCAGGGCACAGGGGAACCCTAAAGGAATGCTGGAGGCCCCTTTCTCACTTGTTGTCTCCTTGGAACCTGGTGCTGAGTTTCATAAGGGCGGTGAGGGCATAACCTCGGGTAGCTGGCAAGGACAGGTGGGACTGCAACACCTTCTCTAGCAGCATTAGCACTTCCTCTTCCTGAACCTAAATGAAAGAGAATAGAAGAGATCATGGAAGGGGCGGCTCTTGTCCTTCACCCCAATGGGCACTTCTCACTTTCCTTAATCTCTCTGTTCAGCCTCACCTGCAGGGGCTCAGTCTCCTCATAGCTCTCAGACAGCAGAAGTTCCCCATATTCCCCAATGCACCAGGCAGCTACTTGTACCAGGGGTTGCTGCATGGAGAGAGGACAGAGCAAGGTTACCATCTGAGTTTTTCTCCAGGCCCTCAATCCTTGGTCCCACGCCTTTTGAGCAGGGAAAGTGAAAGAAGGGGCCTTGGGGCAAATGGTAATTAGGGCCTTTAGAGTTGGCCATAAATTCTGGTACATTGGAGTGGCAGCCCTTTCCCCTGAACTCCCACTGGCCTCTAGTGGTCAAGAGGGAGAGCTGCAACGTCTAAATGAATGGAAGGCCTTGGGACATAGGAAGTGTGGTGTTTTGTCTGCTGCGAGGGTAAGTACAGCTTCTCTCTCGCTCTACTGAGGTGGTTAAGGATAAAGTTACTGGAGTGGGCTGGCAGAGGTATGGTGGAAAAGGCGGGATTGGAGTCAAAAGACTTAGGTTCAAATCATGGGCTTGGGGGAAAATCACGTAACCTCTGGGCTTCCCTTTACTCATCTGGAAAATGAGGGGGGTGGACTAAATGATCTCCAAGACCCCCTCCCTTCAAGCTTTACATTCTGCTATTTGAGGGATCAAAGATATTTAGGGAATCAGTTAGGCCTTGCCATCTGCCTTTACTACAGCACCGTGTAAAACCCCAAGCCTTACAGTCTAGCTTGCTGATGATGTTATCTTTCGGTATTAGTGAGCTCCTTCCTGTCTGGATTTTCTGTTTGTATTTCCAGTGCTTGGAAAGCACTTAATAGAGGCTTTTTCATTCATTTGTTTATTCATTTACCCATTGAGGGTATGGATAGGAGATGAGGCAAGGGAATACATGCTCAATGAATGGATTAAGGAAATAATGGGATAGACTTAGGGAAGGGGCTAAGATGAGGAAAGGGGTTACCTGGGAAATGTCTGCAGCCAGGGCATTGTAGAGCCGGCGCACAGAGTAAGCATGAAGCTCCTCTGCCCCTCCAATCAATTGAGTTAAGTTGGCCACTGCATCATCTCTCACATGGGCACCTGCCTGCAGTGGGTGAATGGGGGAAGACACGTCAGTGAGTTAGCCCAGTACCTAAACTTTTTCCTCTGGGGTACCTCTTACCTCCAATCCTTCCCTTGTCACCCCTCCCGCCCAAAGTTCTCACCGTGGTCAGCACTCGCATTATGGTATCTATATGCCAGCGCTTTGTTGGGGCAAATCTAAGGGGCAAAGAACAAAATAGGGTTATTCTCTGCATTGCCTACCCAAGGAGAGGAGTATTGGAGGGAGCCTTCTCCTGTATCCCCTTGACCTGAACACTTCTCACCTCTCTGCAGCTAGCAGGATGCCTGATGCACAATCTGCCCGAAGATCCACAGGGCAGAATTCCAGGAAACCTTGCAGCTCCTGGGTCATGGACCGAATGTTAGAACTGTTCACCAAAGCCAAGCTCAGTTCTAGTGCCCGCCTAGCAAAATAAACAGGGAATGCTTAAACAACCAAATCAGGGTTCCCAGTTCCTGTTTCTATTGCTAGCTATTTCCTGACCACCATCTCCCTCTCCTACCCTCATCCCAGTCTCCCCAGATGCAACCTCTCCCTTGGTCACAAGGTTCTACTCTGCCTAATCCTTCCCAGAGCTCCACTCACCGACTAAGGGAAGCATCAGTCTCCCTTAGACACTCCACCACAGTGGGCCGATGCCTCTGCACAGCACTGTGGTCTGACTGTACCAGTCGAAGCAGTGAGGTCAAGGCCACATACCTGAGGGGTGAGGGGGTAGGAGGGAACAACCATCATACTTTCCTGTAACTTAACTCCCATCAATCACTGTCATAGACACCACCCCAAATCCATGCCTTTGGGACAGGGGCACAGTCGTGAGGGGTGGGTACTGATGGGCAGCATCACCCTGAAGAGAAGCCAAGAGATGGGTAGAGGACCAGGCACTACTTAGAGTGCCTGAGGTGATCAGGTGTTTATTACCTGATGTTCTTGTCATTGTTGAGCAGGAAGCGGCCAAGGATGTTGAC